TCAGCGAAATTATATAAAAATTATATTACGCATCATTCGTTTCATTAACTTTTGTATGATGCAACTCTTTACTGATTTACAACTCATTGACGTCACTTGCTTATTCTATACCATTATTATAGAATCATAATATTTTATTTTCAAGTTCTTCTTTGGATTATTCAGTAAGTATGTAGGAAAAAGCAGCTACTCTTTCATTGACAACGAGATGGTTCTCGTCACTCATGAGAGTGGAATATCATTGTTGATATCTCATCTTTGGCAGCTATTCATCGTAGTACTTCTTTCTCCTTCGTTGTTTCATGAAGCGAACTGATGCTGTATCAGTTGTTTAACAGTATATCTGTTCCTTTTTATCTATTCTAACTTTAATTCATTGCCAGATTTATCAGTATAACGGCAATCATAGAATATTTATTGTTTTTCATGTGTTTAATCCCCCATGGCGGTACTTCCCATATCCTCGAAATGTTTCTTCATACACATAACTTGCACAATGGTAAACAAATTAATTATCCGTGACAAATGTATTATAAATGTACATTCTTAATGCTGAAAAAAAGATGCATACATTGTGTTTGTTTGGACAATTATCTCTCAGTCCTGATGTTACGCCAGTTGTTGAGTTTCCTTCCTTCCCAGATTTCTGTGAAAATCGTTTACAGTTCGGTTAAGTGAGCAATCCACGTGGATGATTTTTTTAAAAACTGTTCCAAGGATTTTGCAGATAACCATCTATCTCCAGTACTTTTGACGTTCATTTGCAATAATACTGAATCATATTATCAGAGCACAAACGATTAGTAGCAAATAAGCACAAAGGGATAAAGTCATCCAAGCAGTACATAAGAAAGTTCCGTTTCATCATCTGAATCAATAAGGCATTATAAGATGATCAGCCAACAGTACATACAAATATTCTGTTTCATCATGCATGTGTTATATCCGTGTACATGTATCCTATCTTATAGGTAAACAGTTAAGGTACCAAGCGAAAGGTTGATCCATGTATCACTTTTGTCCATAGATCATTTTGGTCTCCGTGACGAATCGTATCGTTCGCGATCCATTGTGACAAGTGCCATTCTTCTGGATGGCATAATAGTGTTTCAAATGACTAGCGCTCTATCACTCAAATGATGAAATTTCTAAGCCATTGGAGACTATCATTTTCAGAATTTAGAAATCTTAAAAAAAAACTATTAGTTCCGTGTGTTTTCATGCGAAATTTACAGACAGTAGCAGCACTGTCAACTTGTTCATTTTATTTCAATGAGAATCCATATGAAAACTGAACAGATTTCTATGGACAGAAATTACAATATAGGCAAAGTGAATGAGTTGTATGTGGACAATTTCAGACGATATTAATGCGTAATATAATTGAATCGCAATGGCTTTTCCGCATGGATGAGATGAACAGCATTTAAGCTGTTAGCTTAGTAGTTGAAAACGCGCCTAAAGGTTGCTTTCTCCCAATTTTATCGACAGTTTAGTTGATCTGTTTCCTCTTTGTCAGAGGCGGGCACGTTTGAAATGGCAGCACTTGGTAATTCGTTGACCAAAAAAACTTAATATCAAAAAAAAGAAAACGTTTAACCAAGGTGGCAAAAGCCATCGGCAATAATTATTAACGATAGCCGATAATTTTGGGCTTCTGCTGTTGAAATTTATTAGAATGAACGGAAATTATTACAGCTGATTCCGTTATGGTAGATATTATCGGTCAGTGAGATTGTGTGTGCTCGCATCTTCTCGATGTTTTGTTTACAATCAAAACATGTGACTGAATCTTCGCACGCTCTGCTTAACATCACTTTTACTTTGTCTTCGTGAATTTATAACGAACTAAAACGTTCCGAGAGAACTTTCAACAAATTAACACGTGCCGAGCGAAGTACTCTGGGTGCCACTTCCTTCAAATTTTCTATATTCAACGCATACATTAATCTGTTATCACAAAAGTTGACAATTAATGGTTAACGGAACTGTGCCAATTTTTCACAGTATTAGCTTTTGAATTTATTGCTGAACTGATCCTACAAGTGATAATATCTTATGAACAGGAGAATGCATTTTTTTCCAATGATTATGCTTATTACTAGCAAACAGTCAACGAAATATCTTTTAAATCCTATTCAGAAGTACTTTGATAACCCGGATACTCGCGAGATCAGTGAGAATCGAACGTATGAGTGCCAAATGAACTTTTTTGTGCAACAGGAAAAATGCAATCATCAGATATTTATGGAAATATGAGTCGAGTAAAGTACGACGCGAATTCATTATTCAGTCATGGTTAATGCATCCGTTCATTTCCGTGTTTTAATTCGTGCATTGTCTTGTTGAGTGCTCATAGATCACGTGTCAATGCATGAGATTGTAACATTTTGGACAGTTGAATTCGAAAGTTATGATGCGAGGAAATCATGTTACGCCTGAAAACTTTGAGTGATGAGATTGAACGCTGATTGAAACAAAGAAATAATGCGAATTGTATGTGTTGTGCTCCATGTTGTTTCATTAGATTACCGACATCAGACTGAACCAATTGAAAGTAATTGTGTTCTTCTTTTAAGAGATCCTTGATTATACAGCATCTTGGTTCGAGTGTTGCTTCATAGCAGTGATGTTGTCTCGTTGGAAATCTCCTCACAGTAATTATATTTCCATGATTTTTTTCGTCAAATAACTTGAGCAGTACCATTAATATATTGTGAACAACATGATGACATTTTTTTCAAGTATTAACTACTCAAAATGACAGCCTGTCCGAATTCTGGTTCTGAATCCACAACCACTCATACTCTGTGAAAATGCTCGTGCCTCTGGTTCTTGCCTTTCATTTGGGTGCTCATTTCTAACTGATCACTGCTACCGATATTAATTGCCAATACTATCAAAACATCCATTAACGTTTATTATTATTCTAAAATGCTCGAAATTACCAACGATTTCGGATGTACAGGCATTGAATCTTCCTAATCATAGTCAAGGACACAAACGCACCATCACAATGGATCTTTGAGTGACATATGTTCGATTGCAGCTGATACTCAAGTCAGCGAAAATACTATGCGTGAATTTGAATCAACTTCTTCTTAATGTGGTGAAGGCTAATTAGAAGAGCGTTAAGCGCTCGACGTGCTATTTTCGAAGTATGCGTGCAGCAATGACCTCCACAATGCATAGCTGTAACCATGGCATGATATATTCTTACTTACCATCATAAATGAGCTAAATTTGGAGCTGGTACTGATAACAAATTGACTTCAACAGAGGGGCTTTGGACATCCAAAAATGATTCACATGCTTGATTTCGTTGAATATCCAACCGGAACATTATGACGGTCCTTGAAGGCATGGAAAAAATGAAAATGTAGAAAATCATTAATTGTAAGCAAAAATGAAAACGTAAATTAACAACTCGCTGAAATATTTATTAATGCAGATAGTACGAACGCTTTCGTTGAAATTGATCAGCATCGCACACACATGTTCGCTGAAAAGTACTTGTACGGTTCTAACATCATGCATTTTATCAATCGTATGTTCAGTGCAAGACAACGTATAGCAGGCTTGCTTAACCACTAGACTCATCTATACATACAATTATAGACTGTCAGTCATCCGCTGACGCTTTGTTCAATCATAACTTTAAATCTCGATTCAAATAAAAATAACGTTGAATGATTGACAAACAGAATGGAATAAATCATTTCAAATTGAAAGCAAAAACACTCAACAACTCAATTCTGCTTCTCAGTTTCTGTTAGAAACAAAAAGAGGACGGCTCCTGGAATCATACTTTAGTTTTATTCCGTGCTGTAAACTCGTCTCAACTGCTACCAGATACATTCACTCTTCACCAATCACCGCGCAAAACTTTCTCTGGAATCGTATGGTAATTCCTTCTTATGCACCAATTTCTCTCGCACCAAGCATCACAGGTTTCGATACTTAGAAAGTGTGGCTATTAGGAATTGGATAGCGACAAAATGCGTAACCATTATCAATTTTTGTTGGTCGTCATAATTTCTGAACCTCACAACTGAACTTTAAGAGATTCTTTGTGCAATAATAGGAACGAGTGAGCGATTATTTCAGGGTAGTTTCTAGCTTAATCTTATCATATTATTCCACTTACCGTTTTCCAAGAGGATCTGATGTGATTCTCTGCGATATTGCATTCCTCCACTGCTTTAACTGACTTTTAAGCTACTGTGGTTGACATTCATGTTGACGGAAAGTTTTAACTGTTGGGTTATCTGTCTGAGCAGGTTACAGTGTTGTATTTCAGATTCTTTGAAATGGCATTCAGTGCTACTCACTCAGCCGGATTTGAGCATAATAGCATTCACTAGGTGTCCATTTCTCATTTCCATTAAAACCAATACATCAGGATTCGACAGCATCATTATATTGATCAACAGATACAGATTTGATATACTGTCGTCCATTAACGATGGATCTTACCACCTTTCGATCCTAGTGAAATATTTCGCATACTTAGAAATTGTTTTTCACATTTATTCATACAGCGATGACTGTCTGAAACTACACTTACAATTAGACATTGCAGTAACATCGGGGTGGACTCTCTCTTCGCCCAAATGTGTCAAACGTACATTACGCATGGTGTGTTCAAAGGAAAGTTCTAAAATAAAATATGATTGTATAGCTGAATGTTCATGCATATTGATTGTCGTTTGACTGGAAGTGAAAGAAATGTTGTTCGGCGATCTCGAAGGTTTAATGCACTTATTCTAGTGCGACTGATGCATAAAGAATGTAGATTAGATAAATAATTGATAAGAACGGTGAAATTCAACGCTCGCTGACGATAGTTGTTTCGTTTCTAAATTATTCATTTCAGAAACGAGTATTGGACTGCAGTAAACATCGTACTATTTCGAATTTATAAGTTCTTCCGATCCGGTGAACTTTCAGCATTGATCTTGATCTCGATCAGCAGGTGACACCTCCGTTCACGCTCGGTGATGGTCAACGATACAGCGTTCGAGACCACCCAAGAAAACATGGGCGCTATCGATATTGGCACACTTACGTACTATGCTTCCACTCTGATCACCATCGAATCAGCCGCAGCACTCATCATAAATCTGTATATACTGAATGTAAGTTGAGTGAACATTTGCATGAGCATGAGTATCAACGAAAAAATAGAAGGTTGACTGCAGCTAGTATTTTCACTTGCAGCTGTCGACGTTAGAGAGAGTGGGCTGAACAGAAAACAACTTACCATGGAATAATTAGCCCTTGCAGGACATCCAAATGAGAACTGCCCTAGCTGTAGCAAGAAACAACTAGCTTGAGAAATATGCGCGCAGCAACATTACCCACCATTGCAGTGTTCACGATACTTACGTCGTCCAGTTGGTGTGAACCTCCGACTTTGCGTCAGCTTAACGGCAGCTGATGCTGCGTGTGCCCTCTTCTACATGACCAGCAATTTGATCAATGTCATAATACCGATGCTAATAAATCGCAGTCAAATCGTTTCTCATTGCATTTCATTGCTGGTTGAGGTTGTTCCATCGAGTTATCATCCATTCTTTTTATTTTTTCATTTTCAAAATATTTGCGGTGAAATGGATTATTCGTCGTTCAGTCGTTCGTCTGCATATCGTTCATAGTATGTAAGAAAAAAGCGGTGACATGTTCATTGTAGGACTTGTCGATTCATTTCGTTAATAACTGAATGTCAGAGCACACTGATTGATGCATTATTTTTTTTTNTTTTTTTTTGTTGTCATTCTTCCATTCAAAACAGTGCTTTTGAAGGAGTATTTCACATTTCAGTGCCTAAAAATAGCCACATTCTTCGTATCTGTATTTACTTTATTAGCGCTTGCTATCAATCATTACGTGGGCATAATCCATCCACTATACAGGTTAGTGAATACGAAGGTTTTTAGAGCTTCATCGTATTTTTCATTTAATAGGGTTCAACCCTTGAATTTTTCTCAACCATCTAGCTTCATTTTGAGATGACAAGTATCACAATTCACTGGGCATCGAAACAATTAATAATTTCATATTACATTTTCGGGATGAAAATTAAGAAGCGGATGGCACTCGTAAACAAGAACGTCAATTTGAATACTTTCTCATTAACCATACTTTTCAATGACTGGAAAATACAAATTACATACTGAGTGCCAGCTATACTATTATATGTTATGCAGACTGATCAGATTGCAGCTAAATAAAAGTTGAACATGAAAATCTTTCGATAAGCTTTTTAGATATTCAGCAAGCTACAAAACTGAACATTTAATATGCAAAATGCATAGAAGAATTCAAGAAAGGAACAATTATTTATGTTATTACGTTAGGTTCTTAGTAGATGGATATCAGAAGATCAAACTAGCCATATATACATTCACGATTAATGTTGATAGCCACGAGGTTTTGATGAAATTGAAAATGTGATAAAATAGGTATGCGATCACAACGCACGCTGTTCGAACGACTATTCTACTCGCCTATGTTGTGCCAATGGTATTTTACATTGGTTTGTATTCTGCAATGCCCGGTGGTTTTCGTAATCATAAAGCATTTGGTTTCTTCTCTTCTGATGGCTGCGAAGGAGCTGATATCATGAGTAATATTTTACACATTAAGACAAGCTGATCCTTTTTATTGTAGGAAGAGCAAGTTTTAGAGAGACTGATTGCATAAGTAATCTGTAGTCCATTGCTGTGATGCATTTCCTTGGCATTAGGTTGGTCAAGAAACTTGACAAAATCGATGAGAACGATGCGAAGAAGTAGTGATAAAGTGAATTCAATGAATCAGTGGCTCTGTGACTTCAATGAATTGACAATGAAATATAGCTTCAACGAATCCTCAGTTGAGTTTTTCGGTTTGAGGAAATATATGAAAATGATAATTTCATGAGCATTTGAATTAGTGCCGTAACAAAATACTTTCAGCTAAGTTCTCTGTCAGACTGATTACAGTGATACCGTTTATTGTGTTCGTCCTCATAATCGCCTTTCTTTATCTGCACATCGTCATTCATATGAGGAAGGTCCACTCTTTTTTGATTCATTCATTATTTCTCATCACAGTTCTTAAAATCAATTCTTAACAACTTCCTATAGCAATTTATGATCAACGCAGCATGAACTCATGAAACAAAGTTCGAGTGAGATCATATATGTAAACAAAACACCTGCTGATCTTGATGACCAAAACATTTCACTCATTTGATGCAGCCAAACTTCAGGTGAGTAAAGATCCCGTTTTACAAGGTGGCAGTAAAAGAAAGAATCGATCATCGAATCGACGTTTGTTCGTGACACTGATTCTGCTCGCTGGATCTGCTGTGTTCGGTGTGGTTATTTATGCACTGAATTTGCCTATTCATTCAGCACGCATCACTTTAAAGTGCGCGCGGAATTTAAGATAACAAGCATATGATAAATGCGCACGCTCAAATATGGCTCACATTCAGTAATGCTACTAAAACGGACACTATGAACTGATTTTAGAGAAAAACTGTTAATCAAAATTTAACGTTTGCTATATTTCAGGCTGGTTGCCCACACTTTTGGGGCACATAGTTTTCTGCAGCCAATGTTTCATTCGATTGAGCGGTTATCCACTGATGATTCTTCTTATTTTCTGTCAAGTTATCAATGTTTCTAAATTGATTATCGATGGTTTCATCTACGCCAGTCGTCTGGTAGAAATTCGCTACTCTATATGGATGTTTCATTCATCATTTAGAAGCGTCATACCAGGTATATGCTGTGAGTCAATGATTCGTTCGATTTGTTGCTATGACATCCTTTCTCATATGTGCTGTCGTATTCAACAATACCGAACTAGAACGGCTCAGTTTTGTTACGAGTAAAAAAGATCACAACTGATAGAGTGCTGCTACGTATGTCGAAGCATCGTCCAAACTGATAGTGAGTGATTTCAGGCAGAAATGGAAAGGATGAAGAAATGCCAAAGGAATTCGTAAGGTACCTGAACGACACAATTGAACAAAAGTCAAAACGTATCAAACGAAATGAAGGTGTCAAGTGTTCATTCGCAAGTAGGAGTTTCTCCACACACAGAGTTAGTTTACCTTGACTAAGTGCTAATCGATGCACTTGTGAATGAAGTGGTGCGAAACGTAATCGTAAGTTACATTTCAGCCGAAATCGGTCTGCAATACGACTGAATCTGAGACAACGAAAGAATTTGAAGAGTCGAGAAAGCCGCTGATATCACGACCTCAGATGGGAAGGTAAAAACATACGATTCAGTGATTCCTTTTTTTTAACGTTGTCGTAATCAGCTAGTGGCTGTGTCCCAACAAAGTGAACCTCGACAGAAGGCAATAATTGGATCAGCGAATTATACTGATATTCTTGGAATACCACTGTTTATTCAGTAGATTTTAAAATGCTATTATCCTTCTATGGAGTCTCGTTATCCCTCTGCGAAGAGTCGTTAAAGATGAGCTCGAAAGTGCATAGTGACTTTTCAATATAATGTTTGAAAGATGCGGATGCACATTAAAATTGTATCTGAACAAACTAACTGAAGAGGGAATGAGAGCATTAATGTTGATATGTCTGATCAATAGATGAATTCATGGATGAAGTAATCTCTTTCTCAGGTTCATTGCAGTAGTTGCTATGAGAGCGTGATGAAAATCATTCATCTGATATTGAAAGCAACAAACATTAACATCAGGTTCAGCGAGTAATTCGGTCACGTCCCATAAAAAATGAGCAATAAACCATATTACTCTTATTGCCTACAGTTTGGTTCAATTCCACCGGTCGGCACGTGGAATTTATCGTCAATGCAGCATTGATAAAAATGAAAAAGTTAGGGACATTATGATCTATAGGAAGGATCATAATGCCCCTAACTTTCTAATAAAATCGTATCTCGCACCCCCTGGAATACCGTCTCGCACCGGCGCTTGAGAAGCCCCGATCTAATGTATTAGTTTCGAAACGCATTGTAATGTTCGCAATTCATGACATGCAACGTTGAATTACTAATCTAAGGCAGTCGTTTCATAAATGATTCAGAATTGTCCAACGAGAGAATGGGGATTTTTGGGGAACAAAAAGCTTTTGGTATTGGTACCAATGACAATTAATCGGAGTAGGAAGAGGATATAAACAACAGTGCCAGTTCACTGTGAAACGAACGAGAAGTTTATTTGTTCAGCTGAAATTACTTGGAGGCGAATGAAATGATGTCAATTGCAGATGCAGGTCAACAGGACAAGTTAAGTGAGCTGCTCAGCTCGAGAAACACGAAAGGGAAGTGGAACCACCGAGGATGGCAAGAAAACAAATGATCATTATTATATGTGGTAAAACAACGTACCACCGCCGTTGTTCTTTACAAGTGAATGGAACAACGTTGAATTATCTAATGTTCAGTGCGAACATCATTTATTCTGAGATAAAAGTTACGTGAAAAGTTTCAAAAGATCACTTCGATTCAACAAACCATAAAAATACTTTAATGCATAAAAAAACTACGAGAAAGTTGACCATAAGAAGAGTCCTCAATTGACACCAAAACAAGTTCTCAAAATCACAATCGACTGCTTGACTGACGAGCGATCGTTGGGTCTAGCCCGTATTCAGATTCTATATAATTTCTCAAATCACAACAACTTCGATGCTTTTTGCTAATGGGATAAGCTTGACTCATAATATTTTGGTGCACCATATTTTTGGTAACAAGAAAATGTGATATGCTTCGTTTGCGATCATTTCAACTACGAATTAATCTGCATTCTCAGAATAAATGAAGTGGTTAAATGAAAAGATGTTCGTAATAAAAAAACATTTTCTTATTAAATGACCACACTCAGAGATGATCACTCAGCTTGTTCCAGAATTTTCTAGCTTATTTTGTTGATTTTTATAAAGGCTTTCGTTAACTGCTCGTAATTCAACAAAGCTTTATCAATTGAGCGCAGCTAACATGTAAATGTGGCTTCCATTTGTGACCAGCTTGAAAATTTGCTCATTGTATATCGCCAATAAAGTTTATTACATGAAGTTGTAACGAGACTGTAGCACGCTCCTTGCATAGGTGGTTACAGAACAACTAATCATTCACTCACAAACAAATGAAGTCATTTGCAGAAATCGTCACGCTGAAACCACAACACAGCTCAGCTTTTCACAAAAAACTTCATTCAATTCGGGACACAGATTTAAGAGACTCATACTCTTCATTCACTCAATTTTTTTTTCAAACGAGTGACTGATTAATTCATCGATCTTTCAGTTCAATTCACATTATTAGGCATCTCAACTCGACATGTTAAGATAAAGTAAAAAATTTACATTATAATAAGCGGATGTTGGAGTAAGCAACTTCCGAGTCTTAAAACTGAGGGACATGAATTTAGCTGTTTTCGCAAGTGTTTGAGCCTGCTTTCAACAATTGCTTGAATCAAATGAGGAAAGCTATAGGTACATAAATTTGGATGAGTTAAGGAGGACCAAAGTTACGTAAAATTATTTAAACTCTCGGAGGTGCACTACACTCAACGGAAATTAACAGCTGCAATAAGTAGAACTCGAAAATAGATGATAGACTTTCAGAGCTGCATTTCTTAAATTCTATGGTATTGGCAATAACGAAAATTTCATGCGTAACATAAGAAGATTTTTTTTGCAATTATTACTGCTCAGAAAGTGCATCATGGTTTATTCAACCTAAAACATGAGGAAAATATTTTCCTGAGCGGAAGTATGTGCCTTTAATGGCAATACGTAAGGACTCCATATCCAACCGTGCAATATAGATTTTCAATGTTTGCTTCCTATTGCATCTCACAGAGAACATACGGCATGATCAGTGCCATCCTTCCATCTGCCTGTACCTTATACGATCATGAGGTAAAGTTAATCATCATTCTACCACAATCGTCAATTGAACAGTGAATAATCGAATATGCGCATTCCTTCCAGAAATAAATCTCGCTGATTTATCAATTTCAATTCATCGCAGTCAATTTCTCATCTTTTTACTTTTCAACATCGATTCATTGGTTTCTTTATATACAAATATCTAATGTGGCTCCGTTTCACTGTAACAATAAATTACATCTTATGATTTTTGTAACAGTTTTTAAAATGCCATCTTGGCTTGTTATTGCGCGATCGTTACTGAAGCATCCGAATTGATTTCGCATCATTTCTCCATTGCGTGTCCCATCCAAAGAGAGTTGTTGCATTCAGTTATCACTCACAAATATCGCATCGGAGATGATTCGAAGTGTTCAGCAAGACTACTCACTTCAAGAATGCCAACAGTTGATTTGGGCATTGGACGAGGGTGCGAAGTTGACTGAAAAAAATTGTTGCATTCAATAGTAATTTTACGGTAAATTTTAATGACAGAATATGATTATTTTCAACAACCTTGACTCTCCGTAAAAACATCTATCTAATTGATAAAAAATTATTAATTTAATTAGAATGTTCTTCAGAAATTACGCATTTCCTTGTACATATAAAATAAATGAATATTGTCAATTCTGGTTGGACCATTCACCGTGAACTATCTTGATCGGTTAAGAACAACCTGAGTTCAATTAATTGAACAAATTGCTTTCATAAACAAGCGGAGAGGGGGATATATCTCAAGATGGTCGGAAACATTGAATTACAGAAAATTTTGATTGTTTATAGTAGCTGATTAATCACCAGAGCATCGCTGTTTTCATATCACATTCCTGAAAGCAAAACGAAAGGCTTTGAGCGCGTTAATGAAAATTTGCGATCGAAAAATACCATACCGCTCCAATGCCGTAAATCAGATAGGTTTGATCTCCGGCCGAGTATGAATTCCATTGCCTTGTTGCTTGAATATTTTCTGGATTCTCGATTATGCGACCTTGAAGTGCATCCATTAGTCACTTAGGTGATTTCTAAGAAACCCGAAATAAGAAGAGAGAAGCTTGAAGTGCATGCTGGTTTTGCAAATGAAGATGAACTATCTGATATGATGCAGGTCAACGAAAGACTGGCGGATATGAATTGTTTATGGAGGGGTATGGAAAACTCCCTCCCTCTCCCACAGTCATAATTCAACCCTTACATGACTCGCCCTACGAAAAACTCGTTCCTATGGAGTCTTTGCCCCTGCAGAAACTTCATTCTCGAACGCACCATGCTTTCCATCAGTATTTCTCACCATGGTTTCAGTTCCTTTTTTATCAAAAAATAATTAGATTCTGTGAAGCAGAGGACTAATTCCTAAAATTTCACATAGACTATTTTCAGTCTGAAAGCAACTTTCGATGGGCATCAAACCCTAAAATTTCAAGGCTAGAAAAAAATTGTTATCTCAGTCAACACATCCACATAAGCATAGTTTCAGTACAGATAAAGAGGACACTCTTCTTTGTTAAATAGTTTTTAGAAATGAGTCCACCATTTCAACGGTGAGCAAATATTGATCATTCGATTATGGCATAAGTATAATTTGATTTCCAGGATGAGAAAACTTATAACGTGAGGCGAGATATATTGAAGGCAAAATGCATTATGGAAGGTGGTGAACTGCGAACTGCACACGGTATACTCTGGGTTTTCATCAAATAATCCAGTGAACTGCAAAGGCTAATACCTTCGAGTGTTCTCATCGGTCTCCTCGGTTTAGCTGAATGTGGCCTCTCACTTCGGTGATGAACTTCACACTGATGGGTATCGTCAACGAATGATGCGTCAAAGATACAATCATCAATGCTGAAATCATCCGATTTCATTGAAGCAGATTCTTTCATTTGCAGTGGTAAATCTGCCATCTTCGGTGCCTTTGAACCTCCAGCTTCTATTGCTTTTTCTGAAATAATTTGGCGGATCTCGATATGAAAGTGCATTTCAATTTCGATATGAAAGTGTATTTTTGACTGTAGGAGAAAAACAGTTTTTGTCGGATTAGAACAACTGCAAAACCGCCTTTGGTTATAGTTAGAAGTTGGTACTAGAAAATGAACTAATATTATGATTCTAATCGTAGGGAAAGTGTTGTTCGGCTTATTTCGGGAGCATTTTGATGAGTTCGTACAACAAGCGAATCAGTCGACTTCACAAATCATATTTCCTTCATTCCTTTGTTTTATATCCACGTACTCATCCGCTTCACAGTGACTTTCTCTTCCTCATCGCATCATTCATTGCACCACTACATTAAATGTGGAATGCGGCGGCTCACCACTTCCAATTAAAAATAAAACGTTAGCACAACAAAGAATGCAAGTGCCTACTTATTTGGTTTGCTAACCACAATCATCATGCAAGCTACAAATAGGTTGCTTGCTGCTCACTTGCGATTGATCACCTCTCGAATACTAACGTTAAATTTTTGTATAATAGCAGTTTCCAAAGTGCACAGAACTCCACATGAAAAAATGTTTTGATTTTTCACAATTTGTTTCAATACAATAGCGTGTGAGATATGCTAAGAATTTATGAAATATCTAAGAAAGAGTGCGAAAAGCATGCATCCACTCAAACAGCTTCTTGACAGATTGCGGAGAATGTTTCAGGGGGGCTGCTATATTTGGTCAATTCGCTGCGCTCAACAGTCAAGCAAATTTCCTGTTATCAGATTACCTATGAAACTTTTTTCATACTGCTTTTGTCACCGTTAAGCTAATCTACTTGAGATAGGTTGTCGTATTTACTTGTTTCTAAGTAAAAGTTGCATATACTTTCCAATACTCGGACGCCGTTTCTTATCTCTCACACAGAACTACTTCAAATACTGTCCCGAAACATAAGTATTATTCAAAAGAAAGTACGAGGATTCATTCCGGAGAATTTTCATTTGTGTACGAGAATGAATAAGCAGCATTATATAAATGTGCAATTGGTCTTGCATAAGTCATGTTCTTTCTTTTCATGACTTTCAGCAGTGATTTGTTTACTTCATCACAACAAAAATATCTAATTGATGAATCACAAAATTGCTTATGCTCATTAGCAGCAGCATCAATAGCATCGGAAGCAGCAGGTTCCGTTTCAAACAAATGGCGAGTTCACATAACTTCAGGCGCTTACATGTGCGCATTGGGCTGATATGATCGTATTCGGGCAGCTCCGCCTTTTTACGGCTGCATTGTTTATTGGCTTTGATTTGGTTGATCGAATTGCATGCGGCACAATTTTATCATTCCATAGAAAGCAAGCAGACACACTGCTCTTGTTCGATATTATTGTGTGCTTCCGCTTTTTAAATTTCCTCACACGCGTTGCTTCACACATATCACTGTGATTGTTTCTGCAGCAAATCGTCCGCTTAATTCTCTATTAATCATAAATGAGCATTTATTCAACTTTGTATCCACTTGAGATTAATTAATTTGCATTTATGATGGATTATGTGTTACATTTGTATTGGCATACACGTGCTTCCTCGATTGTTGTCATCCTGCTATTGATATTATTTCAAACGGTATCTCACTGAATGCGAAGTTTAATTCGTGAACGTATGCGAAATTTTTTTATGATTAGCCAAGGCGATCATAACTATCCCATTGTGCAGGTTATGCTTTCCAGTGTTGAGGAAGCAGAAAGTGCTAGTACTAAACGTAACAAAAATGCCAAGTTATTCATCAGACTTTCATCAATTACTTGGGCATGACAGCACAGTCTTGCCTGGCTCTCACTACACACACATAACTGACTTTTCGTATATCGCAATCGACTAATTTAGTCAGTTGTTTGCACAAATTTTCGCACTGTATATTATTCCGGTTGATTCGCACGAAGCTGTGAATTGAGATAATATGCAATGGCTGGGCTTCTTAATGTTTTCGTTAAGGGAACAAAGGAGACAATTGAATTAAGTGAATCCCAACAATGTATGCTGGAATGAATGCTAGAGTGCCGTCGCTGGTTTATGTTTCAGATTACGTTTCTCGTTTGGAAAAAATCGATCGAAAGTTTCGTTATTTTTCGATATTGATAGCGTTGAGAAGAAACTTTAATTCTTAGTGGTTCTTTTTGATCTATTAGCGTTCTGAGATAGTGATCTTTCTTATTGTAAGATCCACATATTCAGACTGAATAATTTGCTGAAAATTGCCGAATTCAAACCTTGCTATGAGCGAGTTATTGTCCAGTGACCAGAGGATATCAAATGCTTCAGAAACATCTCATTATCAGATTCAAACGTAAGCTGAATTTAATCTGTGAAACAAATGAAAAAAAAACATTTCTAAGATTGATCACTAAAAATCTATAACAAATCTGTACCCAAGATTTTCTTTTAAGAGGATAGGAACATTACGCTTGTCCTTGCGTCTATTCCCCAAAACTCCCTCTTCGGCTGTGCCATCATGTAATGATAAGTATTTTTTGATAATTTTCTGTGCATTTTCAATTCAATTAAAACATAATACGATTACGTGTATCACTGAATATCGCTGAAGAAATTTGTCAAAATTTTCTCTTGTACCGAATGGAGCTTATTCAAATGCGACTTTCTATCTGTTAGTTTGATAATCTCCCCCATGACCACTACGTGATCTTCATACGGATCAGATCTCAAGTTCCACGAAATGAACAGTTCGAATAGTTTACTTCAACAAGAGAAGAAGAAGGGAAACTCCTAATGCCTTCGTACTTTTATCAGGAACCGTCGGGTTGAACGCCTAATAACCAGCGAAGAAAAAATTCTTAGCTAGGTTCTCGATAGAAGTTGTTCTTCCAAACCCAAATACAACATGATTATTTTTTGGTATGATAAGTAGAATTTCTCAGAATTAAGACGGCAAACATCTTGCAGTCATGCTTGGACGAAATTTCTCATGATTTCCATGAAAGCTCCAAATGGTTTATTGTGCTTTTGAGAAAATAGTGAGTTGCAGCTAAAAAGAAATACGAGTTAAGAAATGAACAAGGTACTTATCCGTGCTTTTACCGATCGCGAAAGTTTGAACACACTCGTAGATTATGTTCCATAGTGGAAATGAAGCGAAATGAATGCGGAAATAAATCATGTGACGAATAGATCTGAGTTTTTAAAACAAATTTCGTTTTTTTTTTGAGGTTTCGAAACCAGATCAACTTATCCCTTCATCTATGGTGGATGCATTGGAAAAGAGTCAAATCAGGGCAGTGCTGTGCACCTGAAGCGATAGTTCCAACGGAAAATACATTCAGTACTGTGAAGCTCAAGATAACGACGAAATCTGTAAGCAACGTTGTTGTTCTGACTGCAGTCCTCAACATTCGAAGGAATGTCCGTTCTGATGATACTTGTTTAACTGATATCTCAAGCAATTAAATTGTCATTTCGACCGTTATAATGCTGAGTCTATCCCGAGCCTTAACATTATTAAATTCGTAATGGACACAGTACTCAGAACCTACGAAATATTCACACTTTCCCTTACAAGGAGATAGACTAATGCTCTTAAGAAGGCATTGATTTCCTATTCTGATTGGCTAGCTTTTTTTCCTTCGGTTCTTTTTGCCTTTCAAGGTTAAAATTACATTATACCGACAATCGAAAACCACCTATCAGTTTCAAGTCAATAAACTAAGCATAATGATCAATACTCAACTACTTACAACCCAAAACTTGGCGAGACTTTTAAAAGAAATTTCCATTTCTTGCAATGAATACTGCACCATAAATTTCATCGAACATGTTATTCCCATCCATTCATAGTGAAATCCACACTCCTTAAGCAAACCGATCAGCGTAACGTAATGTCAGTTCACATGAAAATTTTACTGAATTCTAACCTATGCAAATTTTTCTAAGCATATTTCTAGCAAACTTCTTGAACAGTTAGTTGCTTTCATATCATCCACAAACATATGCAGTTTCGAAAAATTAAGGACCATCTCAATGAGAAGTTAAGGATCAACAAGATTCAACTAGCCTTGTTGGCCTATTGGTATCATCGGTGACGGCGTCTTCAGCTGGATATTGGAGAAAGTTTGCTCTCGTTGCGAAGATTGTTTGCAACGACGATCACTAAAAAGATAATCGTTGACGTGACTATGAAGGTGTAAACCAACACTGATAACGATTATCTTGCTAGTATCATTCATAAAAAAGGCTTCCTGACCATAATGATTGGTCAAAAATCAAGTTCAACGCGGGAACATTGCTGAATAAACCGTAAAATAATGTGAAAACCAAAATCAATAAAAATGTGTTTCTGTAAAGTGAACTACAAAATGTAGAAATATTATAAGTGCTTTGAGTAAATTAATGTTGCTCTCTTCAAAATTCTCCGAATAAGCAATTTCTCGAAGTGTATCGTCATGAAGTGTGAATTTAGAGAGATCCCAATAAATGATGTGACACCTCAATTCAATTTGTCATTCCATGAGGCAACAAACAATCCCATTAATGTTATAGTGACACAGCAACGTTGATGAATGATGCAGAGAAGTATGAACACTTAATCATTGTGTTTGCCAACAACAATCAGTCTTACATTTTCTGAAGAAGCAGTGAAAATATGTTGCTTGGGGCAGTACTGTGTCGCTGCAAGCTCTGTCTGTAGTTGATAACTGTGTGAGTGCATCGAATATGTTTGTTCCTTTGCAATCATTTTGAAACTAAATCCATTGAAATAATGCCACGACAAATAACCATCGCTAGGTGCCACCAGAAATAACAGTGCTCTAATGTTGTGCAATGGCATACCATATTCCGTTGATTGTATGCTCTCCTCTCTTAAATGGAGCCTCCTTCCTCGGACCGATATGAAAAATTTGTGCCTCGTCGTCAAATAAAAGCCCTTTTTGCAATACTTACGCCCAAATAGACGCTTACTGCGCAAGAATCGCGAAGACCAGAATTTTTTGCAAGCAACCATTCATGATAAACAAAGAAGCTTATGCAGAAAATGTTTTGGAAAAGAACAGCCCTTCCCCTTCCCCAAAGAAGATCCTCGTTTGAAGGTGAGCTCTTTCTCGTATGATCGCTAAAGTCTGGGGCTCATATTCAGAAAAATATGAGTATATCAATTATGATGCACTCACACAGTTATCGTTTCAAAGCGCGAATGATAAACGACTGATTCTTCAGCTTCTGTGGAGACGAATCTTTTGTGTTTCAGAAGCATGAGAATTCGTCTGAACGTTAGTCCTTATCGAACGGGATTGTACAATTGTACTATTTGCATTTTCAGATTACCGTGGTCCTTCTCTGGCAGCTGTTGGCAGCTAAAAATTCCCTGCTGATTGCGCATTGTTATTTCCAGTTATGAGGACAAAGTTTAGGAAAAATGCCTTCACTCACTCCTGAGAGCAGGCGACATAAGTGCATTTGTATCTCAGCATGTTTTAAATGAGAATTCTCGCATCAAACGAGATTTTTGTAATAGAAACTGGTGATGCTTTGCATCTACTGACTGTTCGTGTAATGTTATGGAAAAATATCATCAAATTGTATGGCAATATATTGTCGCAGATTTGTCGTCAACATCGTTCACAAAGCGTTTGCATTGCGTACAGATTAGTCGACTGCATATTCATAGATCACGTGTGAAATTATCAATGTGAGCAAATTTTCTGTGCTGTAAATGGATAACGGTATCTGCACGAGCCAAATTTTGAGATATTCTGTTCGCATCACCCACAAACACAGATTGTGGTTGCGTACAACTTTATTCTCTTACATTCATTAGAAGCATTCTCAATTCAGGTAAAAATGGATGATTTTCGGTATCCAAATGCTCTTTAAGTCATATTCAGTAATATTTTACAATTTTAATCGCAACTGAAGCGCTGATTTATGTGAAGCATTTGATATCAAGTTGTCTCGTATGAACTGACGACTGCATGTTTTGAGTGGATCAACACGACTATTATCTGAATTAAACCTAGCCCGCTCGCAGTACCTTGTTTTACGGTCAATATGAGAGCAATTTTAGAAGACGATGAGTTCAGCCATCTGCAAGTAGCAGTTATCGTCATCCCTTTAGCTGGCAGGAATTTGGTACTATTGTTAAGCAGAATGAACATCAGCTTAATTTTTTCCCTACCAAAACTGTCGCCTCGAAAGTATCACTTAAATATTAGGATATGAGACTCGTTCAAAACCCTCAGCATGATCCCAACCCTGATTAGCAACCTAAGCCTGAAGTCTAAGCTTAGCTGCCATGCTAATACTGAACTAGAGCTTAGATCGGAATCAAATTAAGCTTAAAGTCCAGTTTCATCCTAAGCAAAGTATTTCTGGAACGAATGGAATGCCGTTCAACTGTTACCATTATCAAAACCAACTACCAATACCTAATTCAGTCGTATTATCCAGGCTCAGAGTCTAGTATGGTACTCGTCACAGCGCGAATTGAACGGTGCTAAGGCGGGGAGAAGTTGAGGATGCTGGCAAATCATTATTGATCAACTTTTCTCATAACTGTCCAATAAGATTTCTAAAATGGTTGTCGGATCGCAAGGAGTTGATTCCTTTTATTCAACCGATCATTTCTTGGCAGCAAACTTCTTGATCAGTGGTTCTGTTTCTCAATTCTCGTCTAATTTCTTGCTGAGAATTGGCAGTCAGGCTAGAGCGTGAGAACCATCAGGCCAATACCACCAAAAAATTGCATTGGTCATAAAAGTCACGGATGGCCAAATGTGTTGTTCAACTTTGTTGAAAATTTTCATCCCTCTTGGAATATTTAAGATTCTTGGAATATTCTGGAGAGAATGAGGCTCATCCCAGCTAATTTCTAATTGAGCAACGTGTGCTCATCATATAACCATTTCCTCAGTGTTCAGCGAACTGCCAAATGCCCGAATCATCTCGTATGCTATGGAAGTCTATGAAGATAAGAAATGAGTTGGCCCAAAAAACGCTCTAAAAAATTATGGACGATGAGATTATATTCCAGTCATCAATATTGAGGAGTGGTGACACTTTTTAATACCGCTTCTCTAAACATCCACTTAATCTATATCGCAAATTTCGGTATATTTTAGATCTCGAATCAATTGGAAATTCAAGATCGAAAACGGGACTAAATTTTTCAATCTTTAAAATTTCGAAATTGTGATTTTCAAACATCGAATTCCGATTTGGAGCGTAATCGAATTTTCAACGGGGCTTGTTGAAAATGAGACAGATAATCATTGATTATTCAGGAGCATATTTACTGCATCCGTATATTTACTCATGGTTTTCGATGTACAGTTTATTTGCAGTGTTCACCAGGACTTGACGATTATTTAGCTAATTTTTGTTAATGTTTTAAGGAATATGTCAGTTGTGCTGAATTGCTTTCGTCATAGCACATTAATATATTCGAACATGCTAAATTCAGATGCTAATGGTTCAGCTAATGAACGCTAAAATTTGATCCATGCGAGCAACAAAAGTGTGCAATATTGAAATATGAATATCATTTTTAGGTGTCTTCTACGGTATTTAAATCGTTGCGAATGGAATCAAATTGCTAAATCAAGAATCGAGTGGCTGAAACGCTAATTAGTGAGACGGTTCAAGTGACGCGTCCCACCTCACAACTTTATCATCTGACGATGGAGACAAGGCGCCTATGAAACAGGCACGCCGAATTTAATTTTATATTAATATGAATGAAATTTTGTATGTTTCCGACAAAATTATTGTCTTCATTTCATGCCGCTGCAATGTTCCTTACTAAAGAAGTCAAATTACTGGATATTGTACGTCTGAAATGGTTATCATGAATTTTGTGAGATTTGGCGATGGTGAGAAATCATTTCGAGAGATTCACTGGAGGTCTGTAAGGATTCATTGGAGTACGCATTTACGATTATCGCTTCACATAGAAAGAAGCAATTTCCAATGTTCAACAATGGAATGAAAACTACTGTCTTCAGTTCATTCTTGAAACTGCCAATTTCTAGCTCGATTCAGTTATTTCATACAGTTTCCTTTCTCTCATATGAAGTATTCACAAAATCTTGTGATATTTTCTGACCAGAATTCACCTCAGCCTCTTAAAGATTCATTGTGTTATTTTTGGGTTCGACATCATAACAATGAAGCATGCAATCACCAAATGACACAGCATAATCGAGTGTGCTGTGTCATTCTTGAAAATTGGTTTTATGCACACCTGTATTGTACGCCATCTGCTGCTTCATTGTCATTAGCTTCCATCTCCGATTGCGCTGACTGATCCTTGAAGTAAATTTTCCTAACCATAGAATTACCTTCGGCTGCCTGATGCGGTCTTCCACACGTATTGTAGTAGATAAACAACGTTAGCCAACCGCACATTATGACGGCTATTCCTCCCCCTATGACAGTAGCTGCAATCTCAACTGTTTCTAGCGAAAACTGCGAATGAACGTCCATTATATGTAGGTGATCGTGCACTTGTTTACTCATTGTCAACGGTTTCGAGCGTTTCATAGTTGATATCTTACTTTCTCCATTGCTCATCTTCATTCACTAAAGACGCTGTTTGTGCAATGAAACAAAAAATATGGCATTTTCTGCATATCAACCAAGCGTTCAACTATTTTCAGAATATAGAGCGGTGAACATGTTCCAAAATATTTTCGCGAAAAATTTCATGTCACCACGTTTGGTTCGATCTTGATTGTAATTTTTCTCATTTTGTTTATCAGTTTGAGAAATTGCTTATTGATAGGAAAAACTGAACAAGTATTACCTATAATCCACCACTGTGACTGATTTTCGTGGATTCGATGGACTGCTGCTGCAAACGGAAGCTTGACTTTAAAGAATATTTCAGGTTTTATGATTATTTAGGAAAACCTCAGTCTGTGAGTGAAGCAATTGTGAAACGTTTCTGACCAAATTTAAAAATTCTTTAATCGCCGAAGAACAATCAGTTGAAATAATGATTTGAAGCAATAATTACAGTATGATTAAGGCTCACTGAAAATTTTGAGAATCGGGACCATTAGGCGCGCTGATATCCGGGCTGGTGATAACAGTGACAGATCCGATTGAATGATCTGAAAATACCGCTTCTTGATGATAATGAGTCAATTGGTATTCTGATAGTCAATAAGTGAACTGCGCCAAGGTGCCTGGCTTTCATTGGATATTGCCTCTGTTTGTAACTTGTCTGAATGAAACCCTGAATCTTATATTTTCAGTGTGAAGAAACAAGGAAATGAGTCATTCCTTTGTTTCTTCACACCGAAAATCATTCGCATTTCCAAAATAAATGAAAAAGAGAGGAGGTAATGTTCCGCAATATTACGTTCTCTACTAGCAGATAGTTGATAACGTGAACTTTCATGAACCGGGAAAACAACCGAGTTCAAAAGAAATAACCTCAGCTGGAACTAGCTGCCTATTGTAAAAAACTACGAACGTCTGCACGCAACCATCAGCACCGCAATCGTTCCCAACGATCTGAAAATCCATGAGTGTGTGTTTTTTTTTTGATAACTAAATTCTACTTCCTCTCAATATCACTTATTCACTCCTCCGGAATAATTGACAGAAAATTTTCGTGATGAAAACCATCAAGTGACCGATTGGCTGCACACTCTACTTGGGACTCAATGAAACATTCTTACACATTTAGCGTACGAAACAACTGTATATCGTTCGCTCAACATGATCACACGAAGGTGATAGGATTTTGTGCTTTCACCAGTTAAACTATTCAAGAAGATCGCCTCTTAAACAGTGAGATAGCTCTGATAGTTTCAATCATTATCAAGGAAACCGTAACCTTCCATTCAAAGATAAGTAGGCATTTGAATACTTTTATGCGCGTAATCGTTTTAGTTGTTGCTGGTTATGCAACGTTCTGCTTCATTTGTATGGATGAGCGCTATATCAAGAACAGTGACGTTCTTGTTCCAGTTGAACGTTTTTGTTTCTACTATATTCCTGCTCTGTTCTACCAGAACAGAAGAGAACCATTCAAAGATTTCGGACACGGGAACGCAAAAGTAAAACAGAACACTTTTGACGACAGTACTTAGTAGAACAGAACAAAATAGCTTCAGAATTTTGAGCTCCGGCGATGCCATCATCAGATATCTATCCCGTTACATCTAATTTCAATCCATTTTTAAGCAGTGTAAACTATATTTTATTCGGGAATAAACTATCGTTAGTGAAACAGCTCTTCTTCCAGACAAACAGAAAGTAACCTGATGTGGACCATCAGACAGGTGATGTAATGTAAATCATGGAAGTGTAGAGAATTTAAGACAATCAATAAACAACAGCGCTCTAAATAAAAGAGGAATATCCAAATCGCACGTGTCACTTACAATTTTCAACTGACCCACTTTTTTTGGTAGCAGGTCAGTCAAAAAACTTGAAGACTCACAAAGTTTACGCCCACTCATGTCAAACTCTGTTGGTTGTTGGTGATATGCTAGGCATGACTACCTCATGTCCGAAGTTTATTGTACCTAGTTGAATCAAAAAATTTTTTATCCTTGCCAAATGCTCTTCAACGACCAAATCCAGTCCGAATTTCAAAATAAATCGTCCGGTTTGCAAATCTTTTTGTAAATTTGTCTGTGAGCATTAGTACCAAGATATCAGGTCCGACACGTGTGGTGGGTGATTAATTCTTCCGAATTTGTATTCCTGCGTGACATCTTGAGCGTGTGAAGGGAGGTGTTTGTTCAAATCGATCACCTCTTAGCTAACGACTCCTTGGCATTCAGTCTCATACAACGCTCGAATTGGTCCAGAAAAACCAAACACTACGGAAAATGAAGAGGACAGTTCACAGTGAGCGTAACTCAGTCCAGCATCCATATAAAAAGCTAACATTTGTGCGTATTATTAAATCAATCCAAGCTCCACAAGTATGCAACTCTCAAAATTTTTGCGTGACATGGTAATTCGAGCGAAAATTTGGGACAAGTTTTCAGTAATTAGCTAGTACGGTTGCTATGATGAAACAGAGTGGTTCTTTTAAAAGTAAAATTAAATGCACACTTAAATAACAGTTAAAAGCTTCTAAGCTTCCGTTAGCTTGAAGATGCTTACTGTTGAACAGTGTTGTGTGTAGCAGTAGCAGATAATTAGCGACCGCCACGTTATGAAATCATTTCTTTGAAGTTTCCTCTTAAGCGTTCACCGAACACAATAGCAAATTCCCACCTAGTGGTTACCAAAGAATGGATTTGAGCCTAGACAAAAGCTGAATGAGAGAGGCCGAAGTAAGATCATCCTTACTGAATCCAACAGCTTTCAAATATGACTGGCTATGAAAACAAAAATGATATAGAGATGTATTTGTTTGTAAAATAGCGATGATTTGAACGGATACTTGTACGGTAACCGGCAGACTCGTAGCTATTTGCTTTGAACCTAAGTTGCAAAAAATGGTCATGGGTAGTGATCTTCTAATGGTACTTTTTGTGCGTCGTGCATGTAAGCGCTGTGCATTAGTCACTGTAACTGATGCATCATTATATCGCACTTCACTCTTGAGAAGGAGGATAATGCGGAATAGTTTAATTACTAGATGCTTCATCACCTCAGAGCTCTTAGTGGTTTTCGAACCTATGAGAACAGCTGAAGTAGTACAAAGGAGATTATTGTATTAATCGAATATTTTGCCAGACTCATATAAAACCACATAATGATACAGTCCAACTTCATTTTCTCCTATTAAGGCACATGGTAGCACAGGTTCAATCAAGCGGCGTCTCGACAAGAATAGAACAATTCAAAATAGTTTGTTTATGAAAAAAAGAACACAAAATTATTCAGTTTGCATTGTACAGGAAGCATAACTGTTCTTTTCAATCACGGATAGATGAAGAAGGTTATGATGTCGTAGAGGAAGCATGCGGTATCTCGCTAATTTGAGGTTTGTACGAGAGCAACACATTTGGGATGAGGTAAAAGTTACAAGCTCATTGCTGAACCAATTAAAAGGCGTTTATTCATCCAATCAATATGATCCCTTGCTTACGTTCTCTAGTAGAATGAGTGTCACTTAGCAGCATCATTTGGCATTATTGATGCGTCACGCATCCAATGCTAGAGATCAAGCTCTGTATCGAGAAGACTGTTCAATAAGAATCATTTCATTGATATTTCATCACTTCACTGCATGCAGCAGCAGCAGCATTGATGCATCGTTCGCCTCATGAACATTGATTTTGTTACGGAATGACTGGGCCATTGCTAGCGGATAATGCTATTTGACGTTATCTTTCGATCACCAAAATTCGTCACTGTGTTTACTTAAGCGTATCCCCTGGCTGCCATTTTTGTTGTCCAGCACAATTCAAATTATCGCTAGTTCAACCCAGTCTAACTGCTGTTGCTACTGCTATTACTGCTTCTGCAGCTGTCAACTTATTCCAAGCCTACTCCCAAAATGATGCCAGCATCTTAGTTTCCTTCAAAATTCACTCTCACAGGCTATATTCACACTCGTTCTCGTCACGTTCCCTCTGCACTCTTCAACATTAGCTTACTCTCATTATCCTCTCAATGGGTGGTCCTCTCAGCATCAGTTCTCTCTAGCATTCGTCCACTTATTCCTCGATCACATTTTTGCTTAATTTTCAAGCCTCTCAGTGCTGGCCACTCATATCACATCGATTTATCATCAGCATTTGCTCATATTGCATGTACATCATGACCAGGTTCTTATTGGAACTTCAATCACCCTAATATGCCGTTTTTACAGTTGCATACTACGCTTCATAATCACTTATGTAGTCAATAAGATCGCTCGTTGTTTTATGATGCTATACGTCGATGTGTACGTCCATGTACATATTCTTAAAGATCTGTATCAATACGCAATATCCCAGAGTATGTCCTATTATAAATCATTTTTATTATTCGCTGCTATCTTGCCATAAAAAAATGCCGCCTTCTTTTTCTCGGACTTGTATCTGAGGCATAGTTTTCTGTAATTTGAATGTTGCGCTCTTGACCACAGGCATTCAGTACTTGCTACAGGCATGTCTTAGTTGAAATGAATTATTACATCGCATTAATACATCACATCTTTCTTAAATGAAAAGCGATCATGAATCCTACAAGGATTCACTTTTCAAATGCGTCAGACCACTTTTTCTTTCGTATCGCGATACAGAACACCTCAAAAATGAGGTTCCACCAAAGATACTGCATTGAATAGCGAACAGCGATTTTATTTGCTTGGTAAAACTCACTCATTTAGGTGAAGAACAACGTTCCACATTTGCATGATTTACTAAAACTGAATTATGGAATCTAACTCTCATGCTCAAATGAATTATTTCCAGCAACAGTTGATAACTGTTTTGAAAGTAGTTTTTCAAAAGTTATGTGTATGTGCTATATTTAGTTGTGCGAATTAAAGTAAAGTCATGATTTACATCCCATATCCATTAACCGTGCTGGCGTGAGGTCGGCAGCTCGTATTTATTTTTATGTTGCATCATTCATCGACTGACACTGAGCAAACTATCGAACTTCACTTGTGATAGGGTAATTCAATGGACTTGTGACCGCTTGATTAATTTCGCGAAGTGTATATGATATTCGCCAAGAGTAAATGTTCAGTTTTGCATGATATATTAAGGTTCATGGTGAATGAACTATTCTGATGAATCAAGTTATTGTTTTCATGTGTTCTTGAATCTACGGGTATTCGTCATGAATGAGGTGAGATTTATGTTGCGCTGAGAAATGAATTATTGAAATGACTCACCTGAACATCGATTGTTCGCTCGTTGTTCCTCAGAGTGCTTGAAACTGGTTGGGTATCATTAAGAACAGTGTTACGATTGAACGGAGCACTTGTTTGACCGAAATGTTTTGCTCGTGATTCCATGAAGGCTTCGTTGATGACAATTTGCCAACGTTTAGCCATCTCAGCATCGTTTTCGATTGAATCTGGTGCAACGTCCAGCACTGGAATCGTCATTCAATGATTGCCGATCAAAAACATTTACACACACTCTTGCTGATGCAAACGAATTGATCAGGTATATGGCGATTAAACCACAAAAATTGAAAACTTGTAAAAGTCTCTCCAATAAAACAAAGCAGGTTTCGAACATTTTTTCGCAACGTCTTGACGAGGGCGATTTTCTGAGTTGTTCCGAACTCATGCATCTGTCATGAAGTATTGTACTACGCACAACAGATACTGAGGTATGTGTGTGGATAATAATCTTATGAAGCTGTTTAAGCTCACAACTACGTTGCATTTCTCCTCATAATACTTCGCACTAAAATTTATTGCGCCTAATTAGAAAATAGTTGCGAATGAAAACGATTGTTACGTTGAGTTACAAATAACTTCAGAAAAAAGAGTACGCATTCAGAGTGTGGAAATATATGAATATTCACTTCCTCACCCTGACTGCGTACTTTGCACTCACAAGCATGAACTCGATAGGATGCAGAAACATTGAACGTAGTGTCCCAATCATACTTGTGAGGTCCTAAGACTGCGGTCGCTTTAACATCTCGGCGCCACCTCGAAGCTTTTAAGATCATATGGATCAATTGGGAATCGACCAACGCAAAACGTCCTGATTTATCTGAAATTGTTGGAAAGCAATCTCAATTTATGATCTGATGAAAATGTGTGGCGCAGCAAGCATCAGTTGTCGTCTGGTGTCACCTTTTTTCGATAAATGATGATAGAATTTCCAGAACTGTTTGGTGAACATTTGGAGTGCTGAACTGAAGCATATCATTTTGCACTTACGAGCTACATAATCGCGAATGGGAAGAATGCAAACGTTGATGGAGTTGCTAGTTTAAATTGATTATGTAACACTGTTCCTCATTGCACTTAACACAGTCCGATGACTGAAAAGTTCAAGGCAAGAAAGCAGTTCTGCATTCTGAAGTGTCTCATCAGCATTAGTGATTTTAATACGAATTCGCTGATTGATGGGACGGATCGTTGCTCAGTTCAGACTCATAAACTTCTTCCAAACTAATCGCTTCAAAAGTGAGCGTCTCCTCGATTAAATGGTTGTAATTTCGTCGATGTTCAATGGATTTGTCACTGTTGATGATTCAGCTGTAACACTTTTCTCCGATATTGCAGAGCGTTTGTTGTTTTTTGTCGTATTCATTTATGTGCCTCAGGTTGGCTGCGAAATGCATCATCTCCTTCTCCTTTTCTATTATCGATAGCTGAATCTTTATGACAGAATGAACGTGAAAAGTGTCAGAAACTCATATAGAGTAGTAGGAGGTTGCGGTCGATATAAAATTGGGACTAAGTTTCGTGGCAGTGAATGGCGTTCGATTAACCGTAAAAGGATCTCATTGCGTTAATGCATGAAACACCTCCGAAAACTTATACGGCAACGTTATTCAATTATTAACGCCTAATAACATGGACATTATTTACTGGCCCTAATAACATTGAATCAAATCCACCGTTTGCGAAAACATCCGATAAATAGGTATACTTGAGGCTTGTATTCTCCATCGCTCACTCCGACCGCTCATGTTCTCTATTCGTGTAGCATTTTTTCAGAAGCGAGCTACATTGCCGTACCCAATAACTCATGATTATTATGCTTATTTCCACATCGCTTCAGCTTGTTATATGCTTCAAATAGTATCTGATAGTCGTTAAAGCTCGTGTACGCTACTGACTAATATGAATGCGTCTAAGTAAATAAGTTTCACAACTTATTTGTTATGTGATGAAAACATCTGAACAACACCAAGGCTGTAGCCGTGCAATGCACGTGGGATAATTATTATATGATTTGGTTACAAAAGAAATGTTGTGCTCATTCCATAAATCGTTTGCCTAAATACAACGTTTTTGAAATTTTTATCTTGCTAACATTTCGGAGTTGCATAGAGCTAACGCTTCAGGAACACTGAGTAGTGAAGTTTTCGCTGTCTACTTTGTGACTGTTGAAGTCACCAAGACGCAGATTTCTCATTCATAATCTCGGTGCTGCAAAAAAAACGTTTTTTGTGCATCCGCTGTGTTCGAAGAACTCGATGTATATTACGATTCTATAGTAGGAGGAAGGGTTGGTAGAAAAGAAATTTATGTTACTTAAGAAGTACGTAAGTAGAGTGTCGTTTTGGTTGGCCAATAACAAATATCTTCAATTTGTATCACGATGAGAGGTGATTATTTGAAACGGAGACCATTAAGTGGCTACTGAGAATGCGCGCAAAACATGTTAAATTTGTCCAAATTGAATCTCTGTGAGTGATACTTCTCTCAGTAATAACAACAATAACATCAACAACAACAACACTGCCTCCGTGTCGCATTTTGTGCACCTTTCAGTTTGTTTGCTTGTGTTGTCGTCAGATGAAGCTTCTTGCTCTAGTTCTCGGATTTCTTCGCTTCTCCACATTAGCCTTTCTGATTGTCTTTTATCTGGTTCAACCAACATATTTCTAAGCTCAGTGTGATCATTATGCTACGATATGTTGTGTCCGAGTCTGATACATGTGATTGAGTCAATAATCATTTGACATGTTTGATCACTTGGCCATTCATTTGATCTTCGCATGGAAGATCTCTAATAATTTGATATTGGCATGAGAGCAAAGCGTTGTCACCACCGCAGATAATCCTCTCTACTTGACAATTGAACTACGAATTGTTCAAGCAGAAACAATCAAGCGTGTTAATTGCTTGCCATATTCTAACAAAAGAGTCGATCACTTGTCATTTGTATAACAGGAAAAAATTCGTATCAACAATTAAACAGTATTATTTTATTTGCATGTGTTGAGAATATTCTTAAGCATTGTGTAATTTATGATGATCGCTGTTGCTGTATTTCTTTACCGTTCAGGGCACTTTCATTTTAGCCGTGAAGTTGGTCAAAACGTAAATGACTGAATCGAATGCATTCGATTTGTCTTAATGTGAACGTTCCTCACAAGCAAAGTAAAAGACCCTTTCAATGCACAGTTGCCGGCCCAATAATGGGTCAATGTAACGTTAGGTGTTTCATTCAGTAAAATTTGTCTTCAGAAAGACTGCTCATAATCATGATCAAAGGCTCCAGAACGTTGTGAGGATGCTCACATACGCTCACACATACATTCCTTATCATTTCAGCCAATGAATGTATTCCGCTTGTATCGTGAAACGAAACGACAATCGCATAAAATCAATTGTGTGGTGAGATAGAAATGAGCAACTTCAAAAACGAATTAATTCTAAAATATTGAGTTGCCATCATCAATAACAACATACTTTTGGTTTCGTTCATGAGAGTAATGATGCAAAAATAGCAACGCAATGTTAAGATTAGGATAAGCGTTCAAATAGGTCTTTTCTGTTGAAATAAACTCTGGAAATAAGCCAACCGTGAACGATATCGTTATTCGCTCGACTTTGTCCTAGTTTGAAATTCTTTCTGTGTGTCATTCCATTTCCTAGCGATCGCTTCTCGGACATAACATTCGGATTATTAATACCGTATCCATATGCAACAGTGCATTCGTTGTATGCGTTCCATATCGTGTACGAAACCATCAACGTCAAACGACATACAATCGTCATTGCTGCCTACCAATCTGTCTACAATATATGGTAACTAATTTCAATCTTTAGGCCTTAAGAGTGGTATGAGAATAAATTCTCATTATAATCGAGCGCAATTCATAGAGCAATTCAATAAGAGATTAATTGAGAATCCGATTTTTTGTTTTTGAGAAAAACACTATACAAACGAGATGACGTTCAGTATGTATGAAAGTGAAAGGAATTCTGTCAATAGCACTTTTAGAATCAAACGTTATTTCTTCGAAAAGAATCTTGAAGTTTTCTTCAGTGACATTGGTTGCAAGAAACATGGTTCATTTTCAATCATATCAAAACATTGTTGCGGTTGAAAAGTGCTAGCTTGAACAAACTGCACACTGAACGAACTAGTGTAGGTATATCCCTGTTGCTTTTAAACAAACGCAATGGTTGAATGCTGACAGGCACTTTTATTCCTGTACGCACTCAAGGAATTTGAGAAAGGCCCAGACAAAGAGGCATGAATATGGAAACGAATAACGCAACCATAACGTGCTTTCGTAATGAACGCATAAAGTAGCAATCGCATCCACATTAACTTTTCGATGAGTTTTCCATCAATGAGCAACGTCACATTTTTGGTGCACAGATTGATGATGAATAAATTAGAGTTGCTTGAAAATTATGGATTCATGATTCTACTTCTGGAGGGCGGATAGTACCACTGATAAGGCGATCTAACCAATACAAAATGATCTAATGCATGAGACGATAATGCTGCACATGACCAGAGTATGCTTGTAATCAATTTAGTTCCATTGATCATAACAAGACTGACAAGAGATGATGACCACACTGACATGAGATGATGACCTCAACATTATTGACTCATGATTCTACTACCGAAGGGCGGATAGTAAGTTGAGCGAAGACCGAGTACTAGGGAGTGGCGGTGGAAGAGAATGATGAGAACAGATGATTGAGATAAGAATCACATAAACAGAAGGCTCGATTCATTTAGTCTGAGTTGTCACACAGGGATTGTAGCAGTTAGAAAAAGGATAACATTCGACAGTCCATTTCGATTCAAATCGAATGAATGACCAATGCAGTGACTGTTGACTGGCTTATAGATGAAAAGTTCATTTGCTATCAGCACAGCAACCATCGTAATCGTTTATATGAGTAGCAGTGAATCAATGAATATGTTTCGAAATGACGAATTCCACAAAAAATATTAATGTCAACGTCAAACCGATGGTTTCAAACAACTGTGCGCACGCGCTGAGAAGGAGGCGGCGCACACTTGGTGACGTTTCTTGATGAGCTAGATAACAGTGTCGAAGAAGGTTGTGGAGTGCGCAGCTAATAGTGAAGTGAGGGCAGCAGCATGACGCATGCGTCATGATGTAGTATCACGTTGTTGCTATGACGATAACTGGATAGAAGGATGTGAACGGGTGGATGGATGAATGATTGGATGGGTGTAGATGAATGGATTGATGGGTGGAGGGATGGATGTGGATGAATGGGTAGATGTGGATAAATGGGTAGAGGTGGATAATTAGATGGATGTGGATAAATGGATGGATGTGGATGAATGGGTAGATGTGGATAAATGGATGGATGTGGATAAATGGATGGATGTGGATAAATGGGTAGATGTGTATAAGTGGATGGATGTGGATAAATGGGTAGATGTGTATAAGTGGACGGATGTGGATAAATGGGTAGATGTGGATAAATGGATGGATGCGGATAAATGGATGGATGTGGATAAATGGGTAAATGTGGATAAATGTGGATGAATGGGTGGATGTGGATAAAAGGGTAGATGTGGATAAATGTATGGATGTGGATAAGTGGATGGATGTGGATATGGATGGATGTGGATAAATGGATGTGGATGAATGGATAGATGGACGGATGGATGCAAAAGCGGCATTTGAACGAATTGATGTATGAGTGATGTTGCGGCATGAATTCTATGATTCAAGGCGTTTTCGCATAGCTCCAATAGCAGACTGCTGCTCATTGCTCATTGCTGCTTATGCTTATGCTCATGGCGATTATTCAAATGGTCATTAAGTCTGAAATGTCAATATTCATCTTGTTAATCTCTCCTATCATACTCGTCTTTCATACTAATTATCTTAGGTCACTCCAACATCATCACGTCACTTTCATTTACTTCACATGTCTTTTTCATTGAAACCAGATCGAGGCAACTGATAAGTGATGAATGTGCAAGCGGCTACTGTTTATTGTAACAAATTGCTTTAAACAATAACTGAGTTTGGCAATGTTACTCGTTCGAATACAGTCGTTTTAAATCTAGTTCAGTGCAATGATAACATTAGTTCTTTAAGTGCCATCGCATTTAATCATTGCAAATCACAGGCCTGTTGCATTCTGCATTTTTAATGGTACATGAATGCACACAGGCGTTGCCCTCCTCGAAGGTTATGAAATTTTCCGGCGGAAGGGTAAGGGCAGATGGCACTGCTATTTTAGTCGGCCTACAAATCAGAAAAAAAGACAAAACCATGTGTCAGTGCCAGTTTCCAAGACTTCCAAAGAGGATCTATTCCAGTGCTCTACTCATTCCGCTCACTTACGCCAATCATTAGTATCATTCATTAAAGTTTACTTACAGTCAATTAATTTTTTATCCAAACCGAATGAACGCATTCCCGAGTTTCTCAAATAAGTTTAACGCGCTCAAGCGTATCTTACAAAACATTTTATGTGTACGCTTGGAGGAAAATTCGTAAACATTTCCGTTTTTTTGCCGAGAAATTATTTTACCTGGTATAATTCTGGTTACGTTTCGCGCTGGATTGCTGTCGAGGTAACCTTACTTCGAACAAACGCAACGACTACTACATCCCAACATGAAGTATAACATGTAAATGAAGGAAACATAAAGCTGATCGATGTGATAGCGTGCGACATAATATATATGGCGTCGTTGAATGAATAAATGAATGAATGGACAAGCACTGCTTAAAGAAGTGCAGAAAAGAAAGCACTGCTTTTGTCCTTTTCTAAGCTCATCGTTTTCCAATACCACAATCCACCTAAAACACCCCCTACTCTTCTTCCATTCGTCCATTTCCACTTGTCATTTCAATTATTCATTTGGTTTTCCAATTTTGCTTCGTTCATTTTCATGTCACAGTGTAAACAGTGAGCGAATCACGTGCCTCTTATCACTTATTCTTAATTCAGGCTATCTCCGCCTCATGTGAAATTCGAAGCTGAACATCACGCGACCACTGGTCACATTAGATCTTCGTGTTCTCCCTGGGTTGATAGCGTGAGATAAATAAAAAATTTGTGGTGAATGCTTCGTAGTATTTAGAGATAGTAATTGCAAATGAAAGTAGATATAGCCTCTTGATATCGCCTTCATACAAATCACGCTTCTTCGTATGACCATGCGCAGAGTTCATCCCAACTCTCTGGTTAATATTTTAACGCAACATTTCATATGTACAGTATCAGCAGTCACCTGAATGGATATCATATTAGTTACTCACGACGCGTTCAGATTTTCATCTCTACCGGAATTTCTATCATCGTTCTGTATCGTTCAAGTGTCGAGAAGCTATTCTATCAATTAGCATATTACCTGGATGATATATTAACCGCTCACGACACTGATAAACTTGGAAGTAACGAGTTGTTTTATGGCTTATAAAACTTTTCTGTGAGTTCAAAATGACCACTTTCTAATTCATCCAAATTGATTCTTAGTCGAAACGCTGCACAATATTTGAGCCACCAATTCATCCTCACCAAATCTTTTGAAGTATTTTCGCGTGTATACCAATGGTTAGCAGAAGTCGGAGTGAATTAAATAGAAAATCCAACAACAGCTGTCGTGGAATTAATAAACTTCACATTGCTCATAGTGACTCCTTCGACAGAATTAAATCAGCAAATCAACTTCTTTTAGTAATGTGCCATTATAAAAGCGAATCATCATTTCTTCAACTCCAGCAGATTTGTCATTCGATATCTACATCGGATTGTGTTTTTTGAGTGTAGGATGTAATCGTTTGTCTACGAATGAGTTAGTGTAGGATGTAAATATGCTGTGTTGTCCTGCAGTCGTTCACAACTGAAGATAGCAACGTTGCTATCAAGTTTCTCAGTCTGATCGATTCACTTCACTGCAAATAGACGTTTTTCAATGAAATGTTGCTTGTGGATTATATATATA